AAAAAAAAAAAAAAAAAAAAAGGACTGGTGTGGTGGTGCACATTTTTAATCCCAACACTCAGAGTTCAAGGCCAGTCTGGTCTACATAGTGAATTCCAGTCTCAGAAAGACTAACTAACTAAATAAAAAGAAAGAATCCCACTTAGGCTATTAGGCATGATTAAACAGGACTGGGCTGGTGAGATAGATCAGCAGGTTAAGGCAGTTGTCACCAAGTCTGATGACCCGAGTTCAATCTCCAGGACTCACATAGTGGAAGAGGAGAACTGGACTCCTACAAGTTGTCCTTGGACCTTCACACATATGATGTGGCACACTACCTACCTACACACACACACACACACACACACACACACACACACACACACAATAAATGCAATAAAAATTAATCAGAAAAGATCAAGAATCTAATGGCAGGTTGAAGTATCATGTTACAATTGAAAAAAATCTTGTAAAGGAACCATAACAGTTTACACACTTTAAAATACTTTTTTTCTTTTAGTTGGGTATGGTGGTACTCGCCTTTAATCCCAGCTCTAGGGAGGCAGAGGCAGGCGAGGATCTCTGTGAGTTTGAGGCCAGCCTGGTCTACATAGCAAGTTCCAGGCCAACTGGAGCTATAGGGAGACCCTGCCTCAGTAAGACGCCCCCTCCCCCCAAAAAAGGTGTTTTTTTTTGTTTTTTGTCTTTTTGAGACTGGTCTCCCTGTAGACCAGGCGGGCCTGGAACTCACAGAGATCCACTAGCCTCTGCCTCCCAAGTGCTGGCACTACAGGCATGTGCTACCACACCCAGCTTATGTTATTTTAACTTAATTTTTTATTTTTTATTATTTTTATTTTATGTGTATGAGTGCATTGCCTGCATGTGGGTAGGTGCATGTGTCACGCAATGCCCAGAGGTCAGAAGGCATTGGATTCCCCTGGAACTGGAGTTACAGATGATTGTTAGCTGCCATGTGGGTGCTGGGAATCAAACCCCAGTCCTCTACAAGAGCAGTCAGTGCTCTTAACTGCTGAGCCATCTCTCCAGCCACCACCCTTTAAAAAATTTGTAGCCAAGCTGGGCCTGGTGCTGCATGCCTTTAATCCCAGCACTCTGGAGGCAGAGGCACTCTGGTCTACACAGTGAGTTCCAGGACAGCTGGGGCTACAGCAAGACCCTGTCTCAAAAAAACCAAAAAAAAAAAAATAATAATAATAAATAAATAAATAAATAAAATATTTGTAGCCCAGGCTAGCCTTGAACTCCTGATCCTCCTGCCTCTGCCTCTTCAGCATATCCGACCAGTGTGCGCCACCACAACCAGCTCTCTTTTTCTTTTATAAGATTAGATTTCCCATCTTGTCAATAACAATTCTTGCTGCTGAGATCTTTTTTGGACTTCCATGTTTCATGGCACATTTCTTGTTCCTCTTTAACAGACTGGTACATTTTCATGGTTTTGAGTCTAACTTGCCATTTGGAACTTTAGCAAAGTTTTCATAACTCACTTCATAAAGTGTTTATGTAGCTTGTATGAACCCTTGGGTTAAATCCCTAAGAATGCATAAAACTGGGCATCTTCAAATTCAAAGACTGTTAGTCTGTGCCCAGCCTGGGCAACATGAGACTGAGTTTATTTAAAAAAAAAAAAAAAAAGTTACAGAGCCAGATGTAGTGATACATGTCTTTAATTCCAGCTACTCTCGAGGTTAAGACTGGAGATTTGTTTGGGCCCAGTTTGAGGCCAGTCTAGGTAATACAGTAAAATTCCATCTTAACCACCAAAATAATAAATAACCCACACGAAAATATAAAGTAATGGCCTTGCGAGATGACTTAGCAGGTTAAGGTGCTTGTTGCCAAGCCTGATAACCTGAATTCAATTCCTGAAACCGACACGGCAGAGGAAAAACTGATTCCCATAATTTGTCCTCTGAACTCCATGTCCACACTGTAGTTCATGTATACAAATATATACCTGGATTAAATGGGAGAAAAAGGTAAGGAATAATTGTAAGTGCTAAATATTTGTGGGGTTGAAGAGATGGCTCAGTGGTTAAAGAGCACTGGCTGTGCTTGCAAAGGGCCTGGGTTTGATTCCCAGGATCCAAATGGTGACTGAAAACCATCTGTAACTCCAGGTATTTAATCCTTAAGTTATATTAAAATAAAACATGTTCTATTCACTCTCTGGAAGAGAATTTTATAAACTGAACATAGACACTGAAACTAATATATGTACTCTTTAATTTAGCAAGATATGTTGTTATTATCGTTGTCAGATAATGCCCTTGGCAAAGTACAGAGCTCTTCCCCTTTCAAACAGATCTTGGAGATGGCAAGATGGCTCAATGTGTAAAAGTGTTTGTTGACAAGCCTGCAGGCAAAACACTCACACATATAAAACAAAAATTAGTATTTTTCTTACATATTTATGTATTAATTTATCATTATCTTTCATCTACCATGCACATTTCTATATAGTGATCATGTCTATGACATGCAGTAGCCAGAATTACATCTGAGGATCCCTTTCTTGTTCTTATTTAGAGATTTGTTCGTATTGAAGATAGGACAACATAATGTGAAAAGTAAAAATAATACTTATGTCAACAAAAATGATATAGAAACAACCAATGTGTTTAGTATGGCAAATATCCAAATATCTTTTTATTCTCTTTGGAGACAGGGTCTCACTAAGTAGAAATGGCTGGCCTGGAATACACCAGGGCTATAATGACCTATCAGATGCTCAGTGTAGTGGTGCACCCCTTTAATTCTAGCACTCAGGAGGCAGAGGCAAATGAATCTCTGTGAGATAAAGGCGAGTCTAGTCTGCATGATGAGTTCCAGGGCAGCCGGTGAGACAGGATGAATTTAATCTCAAAAACAAATCAAAACAAAAACCAAACCAAAAAAAAAAAAGACAAAAAACAAAACCAAAAACAAACCAAAAAACCACCACCACCAAATAAGCTATCAGCTGGGGATTAAGCAGATGGCTCAGTGGTTAAGAGTACTGACTGCTCTTGCAGAGGAACTAGGTTCCGTTCCCAGCACCCAACTGTGGCTAATAACCATCCATAGCTCCAGTTCCAGGGGAACTTCTGGGGAACTCACACCCTCTTCTGGCCCTGTGATCACTGCACAATATGGGTGTACTTATGTACACGCAAGCAAAACACACATACACACAAAAGAAAATTAATAAAGAAAATACATTTTTTAAAAAAACTGTCACATACAAAAAGGACTGCTGGCAGATTGAGGGCAGCTTGGTCTACAAAGTGAGTTCCAGCTTAGCCAGAGTTACAAGGTTAAGACCCTGTCTCAAAAACAAACAAACAAAAAATTTGTGAATGAAGAAAATCAGTACAAAAAACACTTGGGTCTGGAGAGAAGTCTCAGGGGTTAAGAGCACTTCTGCTCTTGTAGAAAAATTAGGGGTCCAGTTCCCAGCACCCACATGACAGATTATAACCACCTGTAACACCAGTTCTGCGAGATCCAAAGCCCTCATCTGGCCTCTGTAGGTTCCTGCATCCATGTGGTACACATAAACTCATGTAGGGATTCACATACACACATAAAAATCAACAAATCCTTTAAAAAATTGACCTGCTATACTATTATTACCAGTATGTAAAACTGTACATATGTACAACAAGATACGCATTTATAGTGATGCAAGCAAGCAAAGATTCCCCAACTGACACACCGAAACTGATTCCCAAGTTAATCCCACATTTTCTTTTTCTTTTTTTTTTTTTTTGGTGTTTTTGAGACAGCGTCTCCCTGTAGCCCCAGCTGGTCTTGAACTCACTATGTGGACCAGGCTGGCCTTGAACTCACAGAGATCTGCCTGCCTTTGCCTCCCAAGTGCTGGGATTAAAGGCATGTGCCACCATGCCTGGCAAATCCTGTATTTTCTATCTCTGGTTACATTATTGCCATTAATGATCACTGGATCATGTGCATATCCCCCACATAGGAAAAGTTTAGCAGCATAGTTTTCCTCTAAATTATCACGCCCTTTTTCCTCATTGCCTTACTGTAATTCCTCATTATGGCCAAAATATCCTCAAACCTAGGAAGCTACCTAGGACTTTGCTTATTAACAGATTATGAGCATAGGGGCTGGAGAGATGGCTCAGTGGTTAAGAGCACTCGCTGCTCTGGGAGAGGACCCAGTTTCAATTCCCAGTACCTACATGGCAGCTCAGAGATAGCTATCATTTCTATTCTAGGGAATCCAATGCCCTCTTCTGGCCTCCAAGAGCATTGTATACATGTGTGCACTTACATGCAATGCAGGTAAAATTCTCATACACATATACACACAAAAGTGAGCAAATATGAACATTGTTCCAAACAACCGTACGAATATTATCTTTCAAATTGTCCTAAAAATTTCTACCCAAACAAGGATTATTTTTATCAGAAGGATTAAACAACTTTCTCTAGGTCTCATAAGTAGTAAAATATTTAAATTTAGGTACATATTTTCTGTTCCCATGTTCAGTCCATTTGCTTTTATGTACCTGTGTACAACATTTTGAGAAGAAAGAAATGAAAGTGATGTATGTATATACTTTAGAGCCTAGGCTTATAGAAATCAGTTATAGTACCTATTGAGGCAGTCATCCACACAGCCCTTCCTGGTGTCATCATCTGGTTTCTTACAGTTACAGGTAGTAGCCTCATAGCCAGAAAGAGGTTTGACATCAACGTAGACATCTTGAGAAGACAGCAAAGAAAAGATTGTGAACATACAGAATTATCTTTCGAGTCAAGTGCCAGGTCAAGAAGAATATTGATGTTATAAGATTAAAAAAACAAAACAAAACCTCTCAAGTTACTCACTTGAACGAATTTTTTTATATAGTGGGACATCTGGCTTTTTGTATAGCTAGAAGAGGAAAAAGAGAAATCTTGATATAGCATGCAACTTCAAATGCCAGAGTATTGCATCAATCCTGAAAAACACAGGAGGGTATCTATGTACTCTGTTCATACAGAAATATTTGTAAGAAGCTCTGCATAGTGGCTCGTATCGATAACCCTAGTACACAGGAAGCTGAGGCAGGAGGATTAGTGAGTTTAAGATTAGCTTCAATTAGGTAGGAAATACTCTTGAGTCTTCCCTGGTTAGATATGATTAAGGGAAATGAAGAGTGATATTTTTTTCCAGAAATAAAAAGTGAGAAGAATCAACAGAAGAATTAGATAGTGTATATATTTTATTATTTTATTTATTTATTTATTTATTTATTTATTTATTTATTTTTGTCTTTTTGAGACAGGGTCTCCCTGTAGCCCCAGCTGGCCTGGAACTCACTTTGTAGACCAAGATGGCCTGGAACTCACAGAGATCCGCCTGCCTCTGCCTCCCGAGTGCTGGGATTACAGGTGTGTACCACCACGCCCAGCTACAATTTATATTTTTAAAGACAGTGTCTCTCACTACGCTACTCTGGGTGTCATGAAATTTTCTGTGTCAAACCTTCAGCTCTTCTTCTACTTCACCTCCTGAGTGCTGGGATTAGAGATTCATAGCACAATGTCTGACTTACAAAAACGTATTTTGATTGTTTCTTCAGCATGTTGAGGAATAACTTCATTGAAAAATCACTCTGAAGACCAAAGCTATTTACTTGAAACTTGATTCTCTTATTTTAAAAAAGGAGGAGGGCATTGGAGAAGTAGGTTAGTGGTAGAGTACATGATTATCATGAGTTAAGGCCCTGGGTTCAAACCCCAGCACCAACCTCTCTATAGAATCCTAAAACTTTATAACCCCCTAAACATGTACAGGGCTTGTTTAATAGGGTACGTATATGAAATTTAAAAGATGAGTTGGCCACTCAGCAATCACATATGTTGGTTGGGAATTGTAGGAAAACACACTTAAAATTTTAATTAAGGCAATTAATTGAATCAATTAAAAAGCTATCTAGTTTTGTTTTCGGAAGAGCATCTCTTCCTCACCTAGCAGTAATCAGTTGCCCATGTTTTTTTTCAGCTAAGACCGGGGTCTGCTGTTCATTTCCCCAGTTCTATGCAGGGTTTTTGTCTGCCCGAGTTTGGACTCAGACTTGACACATTGGGTCTTAACATGAATAACAGAGTATATGGGTTCCAGTGGGGGGCAAGGAGGAGCTATGGGAGTGTGCCAGTGGGGATGGGGGTATAAAGATGATTAAAGATTGTTTGAGATAGTCTATATAAAATACACAAAAATTCAATTAAAACTTTTTTAAAGCTAAGTGGGCTAGAGGTGTTTATCTGTTATTCTAGCACTATGAAAGTAGAATCAGGAGGATCAGGGGTGCTAGGCCACCTTTGTTTACACAAAAAGTTCAAGGATAGCCTGGGTGATATGAGACCCTCAAAAAAAAAAATCAATAAAGGGAAAAGAACAGGCAAGGAATCAAGGAGTTTTGTTGCTGCAACCATGTTGGCAAACAAATAGCAATTTGGACTAAACTGGATCATTGCATAATCTATCAGAATATATATTTTTTTGAGATAGGGTCTCCCTGGTAGCCTCAGCTGGCTTGGAACTTGATATGTAGATCAGGATGGCCTCTAGCTCAGAGGTCTACCTGCCTCTGCCTCCTAAGTAGTAAGATTAAAGGTGTGCACCACCACACCCAGGTAATGTTGTAATAATTTTTAAGTTCCTTATGTTCAAAACCTCAACTCTGTCATTAAAAATGGAGACAAATGAGGCCTTCTCTCCAAAACCAAACAATCCCTCCAACATAAATCTAACAAAAAAAGATACAAATATCTAATATGTACATATTCTAAGACTTCAAAAGATGTTATCAGAGAAGGAAAGGTAGAAGAGAATGTGAGTGCTTTCCCCCCACCCCCAAAGTTAACCTCTGGCAACATTTTGGCTCAACTCAGAAAAGTACATTGTAAGTGAATTTGTACGACCACTTTCATTTTCCAATGGTTGTTCTCAAGATGGGGCCTGGGAAATTTAACTTAATACCCAAATTACTAAGGTAAATATTAAAACTGTCATTCTATTTCTAGTTACCAATATAGTTAAAGGTCTTCAGAAATACAAAGGCATTAAATAATTCCCTGCTTCCCTTGGTAGAAGAATCTCCTTTGTATGGAAGAACTGAACTCCAAACTGTAGGATAGAGCCAACAAAATTAAGGCCTGATTTTTTTTTTTTTTTTTAAGTGCTGCTGGGTACATCTAAATTATCCTGAAAACTGGATCAAACAGAATTCTTCCAGAACAAAATCTTAAAATCTCGCTGCTGAAATAAAAGCCCAGAAAACAAAGAGAAGGTTGCCCAGAGAAGCAGGAACATACTATTTTCCAGAATGAGTAAAAGCAAATTAAGACATGTAATTGTAATGCAAATTCAATTGTTTTAGTCTTTAACCTCTACAGGGACAGTTTCTAAACATCCTAAAACGATGATATAACAAGAAAGCAGAGGAAACAGACTTTACGTTCCCTAATCCCAAACACCTTACCATTTAAGAAATAATGAAACCTGGAAAAACAGGTTCTCTGTACCTGATTGTGTTTCCACTGCCAGAGGATATCATAGGGAAGCTGGAAATCAATTCTCTTCTGTCTTAGATACTTTCCTGAAATAAAAAACACTATCAATTTCAACAACTGTCCTGATATGCATTCATACAAAGGGATCAAATAGTCACACAATGAAAAAAATGTGATTTCCATCATTATTTTCTTCTTTCTTCTTTAATTATTTTTTAATATTTTATTATTTTTATTTTTATGTGTATGAGTGTTATACCTGCATGTAGGTAAGTGCACCCGTGTGGTACGATGCCCGCAGAGAACAGAAGAGGCTGTCGGATTCCCTGGAACTGGAGTTACGGACAGTTAGCTGCCATGCGGGTGCTGGGATTTGCACCCAGGTCTTCTGCAAGAACACTCAGTGTTCTTAACTGCTGAGCCATCTCTCCAGCCCCTTTAATTATTTTTTAAATAATTACTTATTTAAAAGTATTTTATTATCATTGCTGTCTTTAAGAAGTCACACGATTCTATTGAAAGACTTTGTATAGGTTGGAGAATTTGGAAAGGCAAATTATCAATATAGGAATAGTATAAAATTTCCATTTATTTGTTTATTTATTCATTTATTTATTTATTTTGTCTTTTTGAGACAGGGTCTCCCTGTAGCACCAGCTGGCCTGGAACTCACAGAGATCCACCTGCCTCTGCTGGGATTAAAGGTATGCACCACCATACCCATCTCTTTATTTATTCCTTAAAAATTTTTTTTTTATTTATTTAAAACTTTTTTTCCAAGTTTATTAAGTTCATTGAACTTATCACACAAAAACTGTACATTAATGGGACACCTTGTGATATTTCAACATATGAACATATACAATGTTTACATCAGGTTACATTTCTCTCCCTCTCAAACATGCATCACATCTTTATAGTAAAAACATCCCAAAGGCTTACCTATAGCTTTTAGAAACAGAAACCGCCCACTTTGCAATAGCACACCAGTACTTCATACCAGGACACTTTCAATCTCTTCCTTATATTTAGAACCAATTTTAGGGCCTGTGAAACGGCCCATTGAGTAAAAGAGCTTGCCCTGAAAGCCTGACCAGGACATATGGTGATAGGAAAACTGACTCCCGAATGTTATGCTCTGAACTTTACACTCAGAACTATAGTCACACACATAATAATAAAGTTTGGGGGGGAAAAAACATCCACAAAATCTAGTGTGTCATACTGGGATTTGCCTATAATCCCAGTTATTTGAGAGGCTGAGGGATAAGAATAGCAAGTTCAAGATCAGCCAGTTCTACATAGTGAGTCCCAGGTCAGCTAGAGCTACACAGTGAGACCCTCTGTCTCTGAACAAAACAGTTTAGTGGCAGAGCACTTTTATAGCATGTACACAGCTCTGGGCTCAACCCCAGTACTGGAAAGACAAAGGAAAAATGTAGCACTGATGATTTGATTATTGAAAAGAAAAATCAGGAACATTTAAAAAATGTTTAAATTTTTTAAAATTTATTTTTATGTGTAATGCTTTGCCTACATGTATGTAAATGTACTGCATGCATGCAGTGCCATGGAGGCCAGAAGGGGCATTGGATGCCCTGTAACTGAAGTTAAGAAGGTTGTTAGCTACAATATGGGAATCAAACCTGGGAGAGCTGCCAGTGCTCATAACCATTGACCCATCTCTCCAGCCCCTCAAAAAAGTTTTTAGAGGGCCAGGCACATGCCTTTAATCCTAGCACTCAGGAGACAGAGACAGGAGGATCTCTGTGAGTTTAAAGCCAGCTTGGTCTACAAAGCAGAGTTCTAGGTCAGTCAGGGCTACATTAGTGAGAACTTGACTAAAAAACAAAAAAACCAAAGATCAACAAGAAAAACTTTTAGAGCCCTGCTACTATTAATCTAACCCCTTATTAATATTTATTATGTATTTAGTGTTTTTGAAATTATGGGCCAACTAGGATACCTTCAAATAGAAATCTGGATATTTGTAAATCTGAGGCTGGAGGATCAAGACTTCAAGGTCAGCCTCTGCTACAAATAAATTTTGCAGCCAGCCTAGGCTACATGAGACTCTGTCAAAAATAAAATGAAAATATCTTTAAAACTCATTAGTTTTATGATATGGCCTAGACTGGTCATGTAAACCTTTATTTGGGAGGGCTGAGACAGGAGACTCTCAAGTTCAAAACCAGCATGGGCTATATGGAGTTAGTATAAGGCTAGCCTACGCAACTTACCTGTCTCAAAAGTGAAAAGGGGCTAAGTATATAGCTCAGTGGTACAGCACTTGCCTAACTTCTGCTAGGCACTCGGTTTAATCAGTACCACCAAAAAAAACATTTTAAAATGCATATGTTGTCTGGAGTTTTGGCCTAGGTTTATTAACTCTAGCACACAGGGACAGCAGGCTAAAGTGGAGGGAGTACTGACAGATGATGGCCAGCCTGCTCTATCTACCACGTACAAGGCTAGTCATGGCTACATACCAAGAACTTGTCTCAAAATAAAACAAAAAACAAAAATAAGGTTGGGTTACCAGGTGTGGTGGCACAGCACTTGGAAGGCAGAGGCAGGCGGATCTCTGCAAGATCAAGGCCAGCCCAGTCTACATAGTGAGTTCCAGGCCAGTTGAGGCTACAGGGAGACCCCCTGTCTCAGAAAGACAAAAAAAAAAAAAAAAAAAAAAAAAAAAAAAAAAAAGTTGGTGCAGTGGTTCATACCTACAATCCTAGCAATTAAGAGACAGACTGGAAGATCATGAGTTCAAGGCCATCTTCAGCTACATCAAGCTTGGGGCTAACCTGGACAACATGAGACCATTAAAAAAAAAAACAAAAACAAAAACAAAACCTGTTAAATAAAACTAGTTGTTACTCAGAATCTATGCCAGGACAGATTCTAAGAGGTCCTGAATCAGGTCCTACATAGAAATAAGGACAAAGGAACCCAAAGACGTCCCTGTGGGTACAGATGTGAGACTTCTCAGGCATGCTGTAGAAGGAGATCACCCCCAACTCATAGTCTAGGAAAATGCTGATGAACCCAGCTCTGACAGCCTGCAGCACAGCATCTGGGTCAACATCTGGGGATTCACAGCCTTCACCCTGCCACACAATCCTCCAGCAGCTGTGAGGGATGGAGGACTTACTCGCCCTAGGGGACAGGTGGGCTATCCAGGCACCAACAGTCCACTTCCCCTTCCTTCCCACCTGCACCACCCAGAAATGTCTCCCGGAAAGGAAGTTTTAAGAACCCAGCAAAACAGGGCTGTTGGTAAACCTATTCTTTGAATCAGAAACACATTTTCTCTTTGAAAATTTCACAATTTTTTTATCCTCAGAGATGACCAGGTTTCTGGGTCTAGAATTTCTCTGTAAGTTTTTGTAGGGCAGAGTACTGGGGAAGAAGACAGTATGCTTCTTTTTGTTGATCAGACTGTCAAAATTCTCATAGAAAATTTTGACTTCTGACAGCAGTTCTCCTTTAGACAGCACCCTGTGCCTCATCATCTGGCTCAGCAGACCTTTGAGCGTGGATCCAAAGTTTGCAAATGCTCTTGTGTTTTCTCTGGGTTTCTTCTCGCTCTCCTTCTCCTCCTGGGCTAACCTGGAGACAGCTGCCTGCTGTTCCTTGTCTAAAAACCAATCAAGTTGCTCAAATTCAGCGGTCAGCTCCCATCTCTACACTTCCACCTCTTCTCTCAGGGCCAGGGGTCTTTTGCTCTGAATGCTTACTAACTTTTGAGCCTCTTTGACTTTTCTCTTCAAGGGCTTGATGAAGCCTTGGATCTTCTCCCTGTGGTGAGCGGCAGCTTTCTTGATGGGCATCACCTGATGGCCACAGTGCCCAGCGGGTCCAGTGTAGAGTTCACACAGAACCTCTAGGTCTTCCTCACAGAAGAGGGTCAGATCCTGCTTGTGCTTCACACATGTGGTCCTGGGTTCCTGCCTCTTCCTCTTGCCACTGATGCTGTGGAGCTGCTTCGTTCTTTCAATCATCCTTCCCAGATGGATGTTGCTTCTGAGGTTCAGGTCTTGGCATGAGTGTCGATAGCCAAGACAGAAGAACCTGCCTTGCAGATTTCTCCAAAGAGTGTTGGATGCAGGCATGACAGAAGTTGTGTCCACATACCATGGTGACTGGGTCTGACAGTTCATCTAGACAGATGGGGCATGTGATCTCTACCTGAAAACCTGACAAGGACACAGCCATCGCTAACAGGGTAGGAGTGAAGGTCTGGACTGAGTGGGGTTTCTTTAGAAGTCTGGCCCTAGGGTGATCACAGGTATAAGCAGATTTGCACTCAGATCTCACCAGTGGGATTCCTGGAGCCAGCTGATGGTCCCACAGCTGTCCTAGAGTTTCTCACAGTGGGTGGCAGTCTTTTAGTCCTTTTGAGTTTTTAAACTCTTAACTCCAGCTACCACCAAGGTCCTTTGCATGGGCCTGCAGCCAGTGACAACTCCACTGGACAGCTACTCTTGTGGCCTCTGGTCCCTCAAGTTCATCTGAGTAACACATTTCTGGAGTAGGTGGCTCTGAATGATTCCAGATCAGGAGCCTTATTTTTTTTTGTTTGGTTTTTTTGAGACAGGGTCTCCCTGTAGCCCCAGCTATCCTGGAACTCACTATGTAGACCAGGCTGGTCTTGAACTCACAGAGATCCCCTGCCTCTGCCTCCCAAGTGCTGGGATTAAAGGTGTGCGCCACCACGCCCGGCCCAGGAGCCTTATTTTTAAAATTTTATGTGCATGAGTATATTGCCTGCATGTGTAAGGGCACTCATGTTGTGCAGTTGGGGAGGATAGAAGAGGGTGTTGAATCTTCTGGAACAAGAGTTATGGAGGGTCATTAGCTGCCATGTGGGTGCTTAGAACCAAACCCAGGTCCTCTGCAAGAGCAGCCAGCGCTCTTAACCATTAAGCCATCTCTCCATTCCACAAATGAAGTCTGGTAGTACAATTTTGTCAGTAAAGAATATTAGACATACAGTTTTGAATTTATATTCTAAGATATAATTATGTATTTTTAGTTTGAGAATTATATCAGTTTAGTTATTATAGTACTTTCTATTTCTTTTTGTTTTTATTTTTTAACTTCCCGGACAGTGATTTTTATCTTTGAGGAATATGGAACTGTGGCTCATGGTAGGGGTTCAAAGCTTCAGGCTCATGTGACTGGATGAGAGCTCCAGTTCATAGGAGAGGACTACAGTTCAACTTCACAGGAGGAGGCCACAACTCTGATTCATTGTTAGGGGGAGGCACCACTCCAACTCCTAGGACATGAGACTACAGCTCCAGGTTCATGGGAGGGGACCACAACTACAGTCTCATGGGAGGGGACCATGCATGACTCCAGGTTCAGTAGGGTACCACAGCTTCAGCTCCCATGAGGGGAACCCAACTCTCGTTCATGAGAGAGAACCTTTTTGATTTATTTTTATTTTACATGAATGAGTATTTTGCCCCTATGTGTAAGTGTACCACATGCATACAATGCCCATGAAGGTTCAGTGCATAAAGAAACCTGTTGACAAGTCTGACCACCTGAATTTGATTCCTGGGATCTACATAGTAGGAGAGAATGGACTCCTGGCAAACTGTTCTCTGACCTCCACATGAGCACCGTGGCACACATGTATCCATACAAATTTATACAAACACAAAATAAAGAAATGTAATAAAAAATAGAGAATTTCTTTAATTTAAATAATTGATGAGTACCTGTGGGTCAATGAGATGGCTCAGGAGGTGAAGACACCTTGACTTTGAACACCAGAACCCATGGTGGAGGAGAGAAATCAGCCCTTGAAAGATATCTTTTGATCTCTACAGGTGGACTAGGGCATGTGTACACAAGCCCTCACATGCACAAATCATATATAGACAGATACAGCAATGATAAAAACAAACAAACAATCACAGTACATATATGGGTCTAAAGAGATGGCTCAGTGGTTAAGCACTCATAATGCCCTTACCGACCCAAGTTTGGTCCCAAGCACCCATATTGTAAGACTCACAGCTGCCTGTAACTCCAGCTCCATGGGCCCTCTTCTGGCCTTCAAGTGCACTATACGTATGTGCACATACCAACCCCCCCATATTCACATAATTAAAAATTTATTTATTTTATTATTTATTTATTGATTGATTGATTTATGTATATGAGTTTTTGGCTGCATGTATGTGACTTCCTTGAACTCACTAAGATCTGTCTGCCTCTGCCTCCCAAGTGCTAGGACTAAAGGCGTGCGCCACCACACCCAACAGCAGTTAACTTCTAAAAAGTGAAATGAAGGCCAGGAGTGGTGTGCACCTGTCATATTAGAACTTGGAAGGTAAAGTCAGGAGGATCAGGAGTTGAAGGCCATCCTTAGCTCTATTATCAAGTTGAGGCCAGTCTAGAGTACATGAGACTTAAAACAGCAGTAACAACAACAACAAAACAACCCACAAACAACAACAACAACAAAAAAACAATAAAAAGTAAAATATAGGAGCCAGGTGTGGTGGTACACGCCTTTAATCCCAGCACTTGGGAGGCAGAGGCAGGAGGATCTATGTGAGTTCAAGGCTAGCCTGGTCTACATAGCAAGTTCCAGACCAGCTGGGGCTACAGGGAGACCCTGTCTCAAAAAAAAAGTAATGATATCTTAGGGTAACCAAACTAAGATTCTCATTTGGAGAAAAAGTAACCATTAATATTATTTAGCTAATCCTCATTTGAAATAAAACAAATATGAGAAAATCAGGGTTGGTATATAGATCAGTGTTAGAGTGAATTAAAAAGAAAATTATAGAGCATTTCATGTATTCCAGGCTGTTCGCTAACTCATCATGTAGCTGAGAATGTCCTGATCTTCCTGCCTCCACCTTGAGTGCATGCTCTAGCACCCCTGCTTGTGGTACTAGGGATCGAACCCAAGACTTTCTTCATGTTAGGCCAGCATTCTCCCAGCTGACCTAAATCCCCAAACCCTTGCCATCAGAATTCGTGGGAGTACATGTAAATAAATGATAAAGAGCTTAAACCCACTAGGACAAAGAACATAGACACTTCCCCTAAATTCAAGATATACAATTTCTTCCTACCAATAAATTATGTGGAATTAGTACTCACCAACATGAATGGGTGCTGGGAATAATCCATATTCATGCTCTCCTGGAGCATATTCCAGCTTCTCTTTCTTTAATTGGATTAATCGGCTCTTTGGGCTGTGATCAGAAATAGAACAGGAAATAAAAACAATGAAATTTCTTTTTGTGCCATGCCCGCGCCCCAAAAACCCCAACAGACAATGGCTGGTGAGATGGCTCAGTTAAGGTACTTGCCACCAAGTCTGACAACCCGAGTTTGATTCCTAGGAACTGCATTGTGGAAGGAGAAAACAGACTTCTGAATGTTGGCTTTTAACCTCTACACGTGTCAAATGAATTTTAATAAAAGGTAATGTCAAAAATTATTTTTAGAGCCGGGCGTGGTGGCGCAGGCCTTTAATCCCAGCACTTGGGAGGCAGAGGCAGGCAGATCTCTGTGAGTTCAAGGCCAGCCTGGTCTACATAGTGAGTTCCAGGACAGCTGGGGCTACAGAGAGACCTTGTCTCAAAAAGACCAAAAGAAAAAAAGAAAAAAAATGAGTTTCCACCAACCAGAAAGCTAAGCCGCCATCGGAGACCATCTGAGGCGTACAGAAGAGCTGCAGCACCTCCATCAATGGGTCTGAACACTGCCTTGATTTATGACTTTGTTCTGCTGCTGTTAAAAATTTCAAACTCTTACCACTTTGGAACATGACCTAAATCTGTGCTCCTGGGCCATGGTCACTCATATTTGGCTTCAAAATAAGCTACCTCTTACCCCTTTGAAAAACACAAAAACAAAAACAATTTATTTTTAAAAAGGCGGGGCATGGTGGTACATGCTTCTAATCCCAGTACTTGGGAGGTAGAGGCAGGCAGATCTCTCTGAGTTCCAGTGCTGGGATTAAAGGCATGCTCCACCACCATGCTCTAAATACGTTTTATATAGTTTTTAAAATCTGCATTTCTGGCTAGGTGTGGTGATTAAAGGTGTATACCTTTAATCCCAGTACTTTGGAAGCAGAGGCAGAGAGAGACAGGAGGATCTCCATGAGTTCAAGGATAGTCTAGTCTACATGGTGAGTTCCAAACCAGTCAGGGCTACAGTGAGAACCTGTCTCAAAATGAAACAAACAAACAAACAAAATTTTAAAATTCTAAAAATCTGTATTTCTGGGGGCTAGAGAGATGGCTCAGTGACTGATGAGCGCTTGATGTTCTTCCAACAGGACTGGAGTTTGGTTCCCAGCACGCACATTGGTTCCAAGCTAGAGGGGATCTGATGCCTTCTGGCCTCTGAGGACACTTGCATGCAACTGAAAGCGGGCACACATACACATCAATAAATCTGAAAAAACAGGTATTTCTAGGAATCCCTTAAAAAAAGAGGTTTATCATTCTCTGGAAGTTTTCCAAAGACACTACATTTTAGATACAATTTTAACAAATACCTTACATTCTGTTATAGCTTATAAAAGTATACTCCCATTTTATTTTTCAATTT